GACAGAGTTCTCTGCCTAATTAACGTTGAATGATAATGGAGTGACAGTGAGCATGAGAAGAAAGAATCATATTTGCCTGCATTGGGGTTAGGCGTGGCTCTAGTCACACCAGGCATGATTGTCCTAAGGGATTTTTTTTATCTCATCCATGTCAAGTGCGAGTTGAATGGTGTCGGACGTAGGCGAGTTGAATGGTGTCGGACATAGGCGAGATAGAGAGGTCCTTGCCTCAATGATGTCGAGCGCAAGGTGGATGGCGCCTAACATGAGTTGCCTTATGAAAACCTGTTGTTTAATTGAGAAAATGTTGAACATGGATATGATAGGTGAATCTATTGCATGTTGTTTGTTGATTAATGATGTTAGTTCTATATTCATTGATATGGGATAATGCATATAGATGATGATTCTTGAACTCTTGAATGTTGAGCATGCTTTAAGCATTTAAGCATGGTATGTTAATTTATTATTGGATGTTGAGGTGATGGTGCTGAGAATGATTTAGGCATGATATGTTGATTAATTGTTCGATGTTGAGGTGATAGTGCTAAGAATGCTTTAGACATTTAGGCATGTTATGTTGATCAACTATTCAACTTAGGACTAGAGAAGAGAGTGTTTTCGAAAGTTGGATATCCTATTGCGAAATATTGGTGTAGTGTTCTACGAGTCTAGTTTTTGAAAATCCTTCTTGAGTAGTTAACTTTTGAAGTGGATAGTTGAGTTTCCTCTAAGACCTCAGTTGATGTTGTATGTGGGCTAGGTCGAGATATATCAGTTATAAGTGACCAATGTTAATCCATATGTGGACAAGGTCAAAACATACATGTATAAAGTAATGAACCAAGTAAGGTACAAGGTCGAGAGCTTAGTCCCTAATTGAGTACTAGAAAGGCATAGTTTCATAGGAGGCTTAGTTATGTAAGTTAATGTCTTCGTAGACTCACACTTAAGTTGTTCTTACTTAAACTAGATTTCCTAATTTAAGTGACGACATCTAATAAATCATGTTGTTAGGTATTAGTAACCTAATTGGTTGTTGATCTAACATGTGTAAAAAGTCCGTGTTGGTTTAATAGGGTCAAACCATCTAGATTGCTCACCTTTATTGTAGGAAATTCTCATAGGTGAATGTGTGACATCACATGTAATTTAGATGTTATGTATTTGATATATTATTTTGATTGTGATGTTGTTCATTGATAGTATTTATTTTATTTGAATTATATGATTATATATCAATACATATATATAAATATTGTGGTTATATTAATCTTAAATAATTAGCTATTTATGTGACTAGCATTTGATCTATTTAGTGTAATAACTATCACGGATCATTAGAAAAAAATAAGAAAAATAAATACTTTCCCTCGCTCCTCCTATTAGCCTCACGTGCATCTTTTTCTTCACAATATTTAGCGATATACATACTCAAGCTTGAATTAGAAATCACTGTTGAATATATTAGCATAATTTCAAAAAAAAAAAACATAAAGTAGAAAAGAAAAGAAAACAAATATAATAGCATAATTCCCTTAAAAAAAATAGCATAATTCCTAAAATATCACATAGAAGTATAAGAGAAGAAAAACATGTACAGAGAGAGGGACATCGTCGACAACTGTCAATGTTAAATTAATGTTGCTCCAATTGTGACAAAGAACCGAAGAGAATAAAAAAATATACGAAAACTAGTTTCACAGTGTGTGGTCCCAATGATAGTCAAGAAGGGCAAAGACGGAACAAAAAGTTTGACTTGAATTTTGTTTCGAATCACGCGTAGCAAGAACAAAATTGAGAGTCAACAAAGGTTGCATCAGTTGCTGTACAATCAATTCATATATATATATATAAATGAGTGTTTTCTTTTTTTTTTTTTTTTTTTTAATTGAAGGGGTCAAGACCCCAATAAAAATCAATTAAATTCGCGAGAGTAAAAAACAGAAGCTAGATCAGTACTTACCAGAAAAACAAAAAATTGTCATAACAACATTAAAAATTCTTTAGTTAACATATAAGGATAATTAAAAATTAGCTAACTTATCAGCAATTTGGTTGATTTCTTGCAAAACATGACACCCACCCAAACTATCCCCGACAAAATAAAGTATCAGACTCCGCTAACAAACTTTTATAATCTCTATTCCAAACAAGGTTTAGCCCAATATAGATGACCCACTACTCTGTTTGAAGAACAAAATAAAATCTAATATTAACAGTAAATGCAAACAACACCATATCCATGTGATCCCGAAAGACTCCACCAATAGTAACCTTCCTACAGTTGATATACACCATCGTGTCACATTTAAGCTTAAAACATCTAATAGGTGGATGAAATGTAAGAATTTTGTTAGTGAATAATTTATATATCTACCTTTATAAGTATTTATAAAGTCTTAAGTCTGTTTTAACCTTAACTTTTTGAGATCCAACTAACTTAAACTTTATAATGAAAAAAGGAGAAAAGAAATATCTAAAAAGGAAATGATAATCCTCATTCACACTGAAACAGAGATTAGATTTGTTATTTTTTAAAGGAAAAGTGCAATGGTTCTATTATCAGTACCCTACATGTGGTACTAATAGATAAATCAAAGAAAATAGTGGTTGAACTTAGCAGGCTTTTAAATAAGTCTTTTGGGCCTTGCATTGTGGGCAGCAATGAGTATTATGTAAATGGGCTTGGAGAGTCAGAAATGACCTTGCCCTCAAGATCAGCATTGGCCTTTGCCGGTGGACCTAGTTTTCCATATTAGAATTTTGGCTAAAACCCTATTTTGGTCCTTTATATTAATTGCTTATTTTAATTTAGTTCCATTTTTTTTTGTTTCAATTTGGTCTCAAATTAATTAATTGGTTTCAATTTAGTTCCAAATTAATTAATTGATTTCAATGTGGGACTTCCGTCCAAATTATTTAAACGGAGTTAACTTTTAGTCACGTGGATGTCACGTAGATGCATACGTGGGTGCCACGTGGATGACAATTTTTTTGAAAATACCTGGACCCAGAACGGCCCGTTCTGAAACCAGAACGGGTCGTTCTGGTTGCACTTTTGGTGTGTTAATTTTACAACTGAAACGGGCCATTCCAGATGCAAAAATTAACACACCACCAGTGCAGCAGAACGACCGTTCTGAAACTGAGAATATAATACTCTTGACTTAATTGTGTTTTCGATCAAGTATTATAATTATGCAATTTTGATCTCACAATTTTTAATTGAACAATTTTAATTTCTCAAAATTTTAAAAGATTACAGTTGTGTAATTTTAGTCTCACAATTTTTAATTGAACAATTTTAATCTTTCAAATATCATAATTGTGCAATTTTAGTCTTTTTCATTAAAAATTTAATAATTTTAAAATTTTAATATATATATATATATAATGTTTTAAAACTATATAATTGTTTGTTTATTTAAATTAACGTATATTATTTTTTTTAATGTATCAAATGATATATATTTACTATTACTAAATAAATAAAATTTATATATTATTAGTATTTTAATATTACTGATAAATTAATATCAATAATATTTTTACCCTTTTTATAAATAAACTAATAATTTGATAAATATAACTTAATATATATTAATATACTTTTACAAAAATATAAATATATAAGATCAGATATATATTTCTAATTAATATACTTATATTTTTGTAAAAGTATATTAATATATAACAAGTTATATTTATCAAATTATTAGTTTATCTATAAATATATTAATAATATTATTGATATAATATCGAAAATTATAATATACGTTAATTTGAATAGATAAATAATTATTTAATTTTAAAACATTATATATATATATATTAAAATTATTAATTTTTAATGGGAGAAACAAAAATCATACTATTATGATATTCGAGGGACTAAAATTGTTCAATTAAAAATTGAAGGACCAAAATCGCGCAATTGTAATTCTTTAAGGACTAAAATTATGCAATTAAAATCTTGGAGATCACAAAACTGCACAATTGTAATACTTGAGAGATAAAAAATGCAATTAAACCAATATTCTTGATTAATTTTATTAAAAAATATAATAATTTTGAAAAATATTTTTTTATGGTAAAAATTTTAAAATTACTTATTTTTATAAAATATAATTATCTTATAAATAGAGTAATATTTTTTTCTTTCTCTTTCTGTTTGAAGAAATATTTAAATATCACTTTATAATTTTTTGCAACTTATTTAAGATTAAAAGAATAAAATGATAAAAATTAATAAAATAAACATAATAAAATAAAATATAAAAAAATATTAATATATTTATTTTATTAGATATAACAACATAATTAAAATATAATTAATAGTATATATTTTATAAAATTATTAATATTTTATATATAAAAGAAGGATGAAACCGGAACGGCCGTTCTAAAAGCGGAACGGGCCGTTCTGGTTACACTTTTGGTGTGTTAATTTTGTACCTGGAACGGGCTATTCCGGATGCAAAATTAACGCACCAAAAGTGCAACCAGAACGGCCCGTTCCGCTTTCAGATCGGGCCGTTCTGGGTCCAGTTGTTTTCAAAAAAATTACCATCTACGTGGCATCCACGTATGTATCTATGTGGCATACACGTGGCCAAAAGTTAACTCCGTTTAAATAATTTGGACGGAAGTCCCACATTGAAACTAATTAATTAATTTGGGACTAAATTGAAACTAATTAATTCGTTTGGGACCAAATTGAAACCAAAAATAAAATTGGGACTAAATTGAAACAAACAATTAATATAAGGGACCAAAATAGGATTTTAGCCTAGAATTTTTGTCGTTTTGAAACATGTGTTCTTATTTTCTAAAATGAAAATTTCTGAAAAAATAATCTTTAATGTTTATTTTTCATTTCAATCACTATATTTATGTTTAACTTAATTAACGTGTCTTAGACAGTAAAATTCACTTAAAACAATCACATCATTATTCATTTCCTACTTTCCGATGTATTTTTCTTGTCCCTGTGATCATTGACATTCAACTAAGCCAAACGTGGATTCAAACATATCCTCACTAGTCAGGACTGGTGATATACAATTGCAGACAACTCTCATAATGCTTTTACTTGGCTTTGTGAGTAGCATAACTGACTATGAGGTTTAGCCGAATCAACGGAATCAGTTTTCAATTGCCTAATTCCTTTCATCTCTTCTCTCGTATGCCCTGTTTCTATGCTTTACTTTGGTTTCTCACAAGCATTTCCTACATTTATCTTTACATGTTGTGTGAATGAAAAAATATTTGTTTGAAAGATTAGTCTCTTAAATAAGTATTTAATGTCTGATTTAAAAAAAATTGACTACCTGCCTTCATGCTATGCAGGGAATACTGGGCATCATCCTTTTGGTGTATTATGATGAGAAAGGAGAAGATAAATTATTTACTGATTATTTGAGGTATGTGTTATGATATCTGTTGTTTGTAATTTCCAGATATGATGTCATATTATTGGCTATTGGTTATGTATTCAGCTACTACATTCTCTTCAGTCTTTGCTTTTCCCTAGTTCTGACATGATTTGGCCTCATTTCCTCCATGTCATTTTCATTTTTCAGTCCTTTCTTGGCTCACACCTTTCTCATTAAAGAACTAGAGGTAATATCTTGCTCAGAGGATGGTCTTATAATGCCTACTCATGCTCATCATACAAATATAGGCATCCATTTGTACCACTAATTGTTTTATTTTGCACTAAGATCAACCAACATCCTATCAATTATTTGTATCAGTGTAAGTGTACAACATACCTTCAACTGAATATTTTCGATGTTTTTAATGTTTGAACATTAAAAAAAAAAATCTCTTAAAAAGAATGAATTAGCTGAGAATTGGTACTTGATGATTAATTTATCAGTTTGCAGCATACATATGATGGCTTAACTTACTAAAAATGGTGTGGTGTCAATATAGATGAGGATACTTTCTCACCTTGCTGTTGTTCTTTGGAATGTAGCTAGAAAAAAATTCACTGTCCTTAGCAGAAAATTGAGGAAATTAGTGTATGACATCTTGCACCGGCAATTCTTCTTTATGATTATGTCCTCATGTGCTTCTAGGTTGTTTTCTAATTTCTATAACATCAAGGCAAGCAATGAAAATGAAAGCTTATAATGGAGAGTGGAGACAGAATAACGGATTGCGATTGCATACATTCTTTATAATAACAAAAAAATTATGTTTTCATTTTCTATTTTCTCATTTAACTAAAAAATACAAAATTCTTACATTGTTATCATTTTTTGTTTTCATTAATTCCTATTTTTTTTTTAAATATAAAATAAAGTCCAACTCTTATAATTGAAAGTAAAAATAGAAAAAAATAATATAATTGATTAGAAATTTAGAATTAGACACAAACAAAGTAACAAACAATCTCACCCTTTTATTTCCTATCCTTTTCTTTTCCTCTCCCCTGTTTCTCTGCTATCATCACGAACCATTAATTATATCAACACAGGGAAGATTTCATTATGAATATAACAAAGTTAACATAAAATGCTTATATATGATGCAATATCAGTCGAGTTGCACTACATGCATGTTAGATTTTTAAAAACACACTCGAGATTCCAGACAGAATTGATATATTTTTTATTTATCAATTTTTTTTATAAAAAATAACAACAAAATTCGAACTTAAAATTTGGTATATATTATCTTAACCTTTGTTGTTAAACCAATTCTTTTATCTTAACCTTTGTAGTTAAAAAACTTGTAGTAGTTTAGAGAGTATCGGTATTAGTTAGAAGTTTTAATAAAGATTAAAATTTTTGTGAGAAACTTTTCCTTTGTGCCTTTGTGGAGATGATGAAGCATGAGTCCATGAGCATGGTATTGATTCCGTTTGAACTTTGAAGTTGGCAGTGGTTGAAGAGATTTTCATTTCCTGTGAGCTGAAAGGAGGGGAAATATATGAAGTATTTGGCACCACAAGGATTTAAGTGACAATGATTAGTGATTCTGGAATAATTGAGTCATGTGGCTCTTGAGGGATGATTATGACGCCCTCACTTTTCTCCAGTTGACTGTTGCTTCCTCCAGTTCAATCTTCGTTGGCAAACAAAAAGTATTTTGGATTGATTGCAACTATATATTACAATTTCACTTGTCTATAAATTCCATTCATTTGTAATCATTTTAAATTTTAATAATCATAAACTCAATGACTTGTTTTCCATATATATCTTTTTCTATTATAATTATAGTCACCTGAAACTCTTTCCTAATAAAAATTTAAACATTCATTCTACACATGATAAAGAATTAGTCCATTCCAATTGGCACCCAATATCTAATACTATTGAGAGTGTAATTCCATTCTACCACATTAAGTAGTCTATTCTAATAAATTCAACAGTAATGTTTATTATTTTTACCATGATGAGGTTTGCTTTCTTAGTCATGTCTATGATCTTGGTCTACAAAGTTGGTATTTGTTTCCCAAACATCTCGGATGTATCTACAAAAAAGACTCTGACGATCAAGTTAGTATATATATTTTGTATCGTTCATTCCTATATAATTATCTCGCTTCTCTCGTTATCGTCCATTATTTTTTTATATAACCGTCATAATCGTTACTTTTTTGGAGAGTTAGCAACGGTTAAGTCGGCTATCTCCATATCGAGATGCATATCCAACGTTGTCGTGTGCCAAAGTTTGCACTCAATATCATAAGTTCAACTTGACTTACTACTCCAAGATCTATATCCCTAGTTCTCGTTTCGGAGAGTTGAGTTATAAACTAAACTTGGTTATCTCATAAATCAGATCGGTACATTTATTATTATTAAGATTGTGTTTGGTAAAGAAAAAAGAAGAAGAAAAATAAGTAAAAAAATAAAGTGAAAATATTTTTTTAATAAAAAAATAGAAGAGAAACATAATAGAAGTTAGTTTTTCAAGTGATCATTTAATTTAAAAAAACAATGAATAATTTTAATTATTATTTATTTATTTTATTATTAAATTATTTTATTTATTATTTTTATTTTAAAAAAATTATAAAACAAGTTCCGCGCACTTCACTTTATCTGACAGGAAAGTTTTTCACGCCACAGAATCCTCACTCACACTTTACTATTACTAAATAATAATACTTTTTTTTTTTTAAATTTCTCTGTACTTCTATTTTGTTTTGTGTTTTTTCTTTTTTTCTCTGCTCCCCTTTACCAAACGATGCATAAAGAAAATGAAGATCAATATCAGTGGTTTTTATTAAGCTTATTTTTGGTGATTTATAAAAAAATCTGCTTACGAAACTTTAAAATGGTAGTAATAATGAAGACATGTTTAGGATGTGTCAGAGTTATGTTTCATATTCATGTGTGTAATTTAACGTTAGATTCATGATATATTAAAACGCAACAAAGTCAGAATTTAAACGGTCGGTTCAGAATCTCGGTTCGGTTTGTCGTTTCTGCTAATACTTTAGATTCCCTCAATGACAAAATCAGTAAGTGGCCATGACTTTCGCTGATTACGAACTGGTAGTCTGGTACACCTTATTTTTAATTTGATTTATATTTTAAATATTTGTATAAGAAATGCAAAAATAAAAATATTATTTCAATGTGATTCTATATTAATATATAAAGGAAATATTTTTTTTAATAATTACTTTAATTTTCATATTTTATTGATTATTATATTTTTTTATTTTAAAAATTTTAAAAATAATATTTTTTATTAAAATTAAAATTTTAAAATTAATAGATTAATTATAATATTAAATTAATATATATTTATTATTTAATTTTTATTTTTATTTCATTTTAATAGAGAGACGAAATCCTAAACCTTAGTGGTATTTATAAACGGAAAAGAGTTGGTTTTTATTTATAAATAGGAGAAAGGATGATGAACTGCGATTAATAATAGAAAAAGGAGAATGGCATTTATTTGTGCCAAAAATTGTGGAAACCAATTTGGAATCTCTTCCTCCGATCACACAATCTTTTAAGTTTTCGCTTTGTAAAGATTATGCTGGGCTTTGATAATTTTTCCTTTGATGTTGAGATTCATCTGTTACTTATTCTTCCGTATGAGATGAAATATCAATGTATTTTTTCATCGTAAAAAAACGTACTGTAGGTTGCAGTGCCACTGAGAATAGCTCAGATTATCCATCCGTGGTCTAAAGTCTGATCTACTTCAAGTTATATTTTGTTAGGGAAATGAATTAGACTAAGGTTTTTTTTTGTAAGGGTCTACTGACAGGAAAGTTTTTCACGCCACAGAATCCTCACTCACACTTTACTATTACTAAATAATAATACTTTTTTTTTTTTAAATTTCTCTGTACTTCTATTTTGTTTTGTGTTTTTTCTTTTTTTCTCTGCTCCCCTTTACCAAACGATGCATAAAGAAAATGAAGATCAATATCAGTGGTTTTTATTAAGCTTATTTTTGGTGATTTATAAAAAAATCTGCTTACGAAACTTTAAAATGGTAGTAATAATGAAGACATGTTTAGGATGTGTCAGAGTTATGTTTCATATTCATGTGTGTAATTTAACGTTAGATTCATGATATATTAAAACGCAACAAAGTCAGAATTTAAACGGTCGGTTCAGAATCTCGGTTCGGTTTGTCGTTTCTGCTAATACTTTAGATTCCCTCAATGACAAAATCAGTAAGTGGCCATGACTTTCGCTGATTACGAACTGGTAGTCTGGTACACCTTATTTTTAATTTGATTTATATTTTAAATATTTGTATAAGAAATGCAAAAATAAAAATATTATTTCAATGTGATTCTATATTAATATATAAAGGAAATATTTTTTTTAATAATTACTTTAATTTTCATATTTTATTGATTATTATATTTTTTTATTTTAAAAATTTTAAAAATAATATTTTTTATTAAAATTAAAATTTTAAAATTAATAGATTAATTATAATATTAAATTAATATATATTTATTATTTAATTTTTATTTTTATTTCATTTTAATAGAGAGACGAAATCCTAAACCTTAGTGGTATTTATAAACGGAAAAGAGTTGGTTTTTATTTATAAATAGGAGAAAGGATGATGAACTGCGATTAATAATAGAAAAAGGAGAATGGCATTTATTTGTGCCAAAAATTGTGGAAACCAATTTGGAATCTCTTCCTCCGATCACACAATCTTTTAAGTTTTCGCTTTGTAAAGATTATGCTGGGCTTTGATAATTTTTCCTTTGATGTTGAGATTCATCTGTTACTTATTCTTCCGTATGAGATGAAATATCAATGTATTTTTTCATCGTAAAAAAACGTACTGTAGGTTGCAGTGCCACTGAGAATAGCTCAGATTATCCATCCGTGGTCTAAAGTCTGATCTACTTCAAGTTATATTTTGTTAGGGAAATGAATTAGACTAAGGTTTTTTTTTGTAAGGGTCTACTTAATTAAAACTTTCATACTTTAATTTATTAAAAAAAGGTCTTTCAGGTCTAATTGAACAAGAGTTGCTTTTCAAGGAAAACCATTGCTAAAATTATCTTATTACGATAATATTTAGATATTCTACAGACAAGCGTAATCTCTTTTCCAAATTGCTTTTAAAAGAGGAACGATTCATCCGTTAGTTAATTGTATGACAAATTATCTTCAACCAGGATGTATAACTAACATTAGAAGAAAAAAAATACATTACACTTAATATATCACATCATCATCCGCTACTAACATCAACTAACATATAATTTGACTAAAATTGAAAATTCAAATACTTATTTATAATGTCGCTACCTTCTAAATCTAATTTACCATTAGAATACTCTATTATAAAATTTTCATCTTCTAAAACTAACTAGCTGATGTCTCACTTAAAAAGACGAACTTGGCTGTTGACTCTAGTAATATATTTCTACTTTATTGTAAAATCTCTATTTAGAGAACAATTGGTAAATTAGGAAAGTGTTTTTATTTTTTTAGGTGGAGAACAACAACACGAAAGTCAAGTCAAGTAGTCAACAAAGACAAATATCCATAAATCATAATGCGTTTCTATTAGACTAGAGAACTCCAACTACCCAATTCAATACACCATAGTACACCAGAACGTTACAAAACCCAGAGGAAAAAAATGTGAAGACATAAACTGTGGTCAAAGTTAAGCGACATGCAGCAACACTTGATTCTGCTTGACCTTGGATTCCTATTAAGATTTGTTTAAATGACTGTCATCACCAAAAGACAAATATGACCACATTAACTATCAGACAGGTATATTTACTTGATTAGCGGTTAAAAGAAATGACTCATAACTGAAGCTAAATAAGGTGCCAAAAAATAAAACTGAAGCTAAATAATTTATTGAAACACTGAGGTGTGGTCTAAATACAAAAATCAACAGATTTAATTTGTAAAGCATAAGTGATAAGACATGAATGACAAAATACCTGGGAACCTAAAGGTATGAACTATACACCACATACGCACCAGCAATAACCATCATATCAAAACTATCATATTCAAGAATCCTATGCCCCTCTCTCTATACACCGAAATTAAAAGGAAAGAAGAGAAAAAAATAAGAAAATATGAACCCAGGTAATCAAACTACATCAAAGGAACCCTCTTAAAATGAAGCAGCTTCTGTCTGGCTTCCTCTGCTGTGACGGTGTCTTTTACCATGGTGACGCCGGCCACTACCAAAAGTGACAGGATCAAACTTTCTCAGCCTCTCAGCTTCTTGGGAATTGATCACACACTCTGATGGAGGGCTTTTGTATCTAACTTTGTCATAGCAGTAGGAGTATGTCATGTGCTTCTTCCTGAAACTCTCCATTTTGATTCTCTGTGCAGGTGTAACACTAGAAGGAATTGCTTCAGCATTGTCACACTTGGCCACGTGCTCAATTGGATCCACTGCACAACCATGCAGGACAAGGTCAGAGAATTCAGCAACGTAGGGTGCATACTTGTAGTTGACCCTGTATTTGCCTCCATTGGTGGCCCAATCAGATGCATCCCATATTGTTGCATACAAAGTCATTGGCTTAGAGGGGAAATCTCCTCCCATAGATTCGGTTCGCGTCACTTCTCTAATAGGAACATTATCCACATAAAATCTGCACATGATTAGACAAGAACACACAATTATGAGAATGGTAGAAGTTAACATACTTGAATGAAAAAACACATAAATCCATACAAGGGATATATTAACTAAAGTTTGTACAACCAACAAGTCAGGAAAAATAGAATTGAACTTGTCACCTTAAATAAGATCCTAAAACAGTCTTATATGGATAAAATAAATCGACATTCAGTGATTTCACTAAAAGTGATCAATCAAGTTTTCCATCAATTTTTCTTCGGTGAAGCTGATAGATACTACACCTTAGCAAAGATTGGTCATCAGTTAAGCCTGTAAATTTAAGTAGCCCAAAAAAATTCCAAGTGCTAAAAGCATATATATACCATTTAAGTATTTGATCAAACAGGGAATTTAGTAAAGAGAACTAGAAAACTAGAGAAAATCTTTGAATAAAAATAACCATCCCAACGATAGGGTCTCTAAAATTACTGCTTACAAACAAGGGATCATCACCCTATATAGTAGGGAAGACAGTAGTAAAAATGATGAAAAAAGTTGCTATAACAAAAAAGATATAGATATATGGTCAAGGGTATAACACCCAAAAGAGAACCAAATATAGTATGTAGGGGGCTCAGATAGATGCTCACATGATCTGAGAATCTGTCCAGACAATACTGTACTGATGGAAATCATCGGCTGGGTCAAACCAGAGACCATATCTTTCCTCTCTGCCAATGTTGGTGCTACCGTTGCCATAAACATTGGTCTGAATCCTCCAGTCTTTGCCTCTAATGTTCCCCAAAAACTCAAAGTCGATTTCATCATGGTTATTTTGGAACATGTCACCATTTGACATCTGCACACAGATAACATGATGAAATAAATTTAACAACTCTTTTCCCCATTCTCCGGATATACAAGTTAAAACTTAAAACCAAAATTAGAAAGTGTCTTTTTTTGTTCAAACAAACAACCACACTTTTAGCAAGTAAGGAGTCATTAGATTATATTCTCCACGGGTGAAGATGAAAGTGAGAACTATCAGATTTATCATTATATCACAAAACATTTAACTTTAACAGCGTGTTTCAAACACAAAAACCTTACTAATAAAACCCTGAGAGCTGTGAGGTTTTGTTTTCAAATTTATACAAAAGATGGTGATTCAAGAACACAAAGGGGGAAAACGATATACAAAAGGAAACAAAAAAGCTTGGTGAGTGAGGTGAAGGAGAAACCTTTAATAAGCAGAGAAACACATATGCTTGGTGATGACGAAGGATGATTGAGTTTTCAAAGTATGATATAAAAAATAGGGTATCATTTATTTTTCGGTTAAATCATAAAATAGAGGCATATACTCACATAAAAGGCAACCACAACTCCGGCAGTGTAATCAGCAGGCAACTTAATGGAAGCGCTGAAATAGCCGTGAAGGTAAAGATCATGAGACACAAATCCTGAACCTGCAAAACACACCCCATAAATGGAAAAACCAAAAAGGCGAAAACTTTAGCCACAAAAATCACCATCTCAACCAACCCCACATAGATTGTGAAGCCATAAACAAAAGCTGGCAAAGTAAAAAAAAAAAAAAAAAACCTGTTCTTTCATCCAGAGAAAGATGAACCGATTTGCCATCCCTATGGATGACCAAGTTACTGTCCCCAAACAAGGGCGCATAGCCTTCATCAAAGGGTATGATGGGCAAGTTTCTGGAGGAGGCAGAGGCCAAAGCAAAAAGCATGGAAGAAAAGAAGAGCAACCCCATGTTGAACCACCCCATGATTGTTTCCTTCTTCCAAGTGGTTTTTTTTTTCCAGATATATAAGGAGTGGTGCAAGGAAGGGTGATGAAGAAGGAGGTGGAAGAAAGAGAGAGGTTTGGAATATCTCTACAGCTAGAAGCGATAGAGAGAGCCGAATAGGGCTGGTTAGAGAGAAAGACACAGCCAAACGAAGCTTATTTGTATTCGTGAGACTGTTTGGAGTGTGTTGAGCTGTGTTCCAATGTAGACAATTTTGAGTATTTATTATTTCAACTTGCTTTATGAAATGTATTTAATTGAAACTCTCATTTTCATTGCTTTGCAATTGGGAAATATTAAATGTATGTGCAAAATGATAAATACGAGTTACTAGTGGAGTAGTACCATTATTCTCTCTTTCTCTCTCATTTAAATGTATTTTTCTACTTTCTTTTCGATCAGTACAAAGACTTGTTGACAAAGCCTTTAACACGCGCCTCTGTTTCTAATGGTAACATATATCCTCTCTGTCCCCTTCTGCTTCTGCCTAAAGTCATGCTATTTTCTTTAACCCAAAAATAAAATTAATTTCAATAGGAAACTTGGGCTTCTGCATGTTTTCTAAAATTACAGCTACTGTAAAAGATGGTAGATGAGAGAAATTACTGTTTGAGAAAACTCATCAGTATGCTTGGAAGAAATTCAACAGGTAGAAAGTGATGACTCATATTTAAATAAATAAATAAATGTGATCTATGGCTTGTGAGTTCGACGAAGAATGTGAATAAAGAAGTCTTGTATTTAAAGAAAAGATGACGTAGAAGCTTGAGTCTCGTATTTGAATGTGAATGTGAATGTGAATAAAAAAGCCATAGAAAGACCGAGACCAATCGTCTTAGTACCTTAAAATTAATTTTGGATTTAAATAGAATATTCCACGGTCACAAAAATTGAATAAGAATAATGAATTTATGTTTTTAGTTAAAAAAATTCAAAATTTAAGCGTATATAAATTGATTGAATACAGATGTATTTTAGGGATTGGTGAATGTGATTTAAAATAGAAAAAGGTTGAAATATAAAGTTTGAAAGGTTGTGAGAGGGATAAAGTGCGAAAGGCCATGAATCATGATAGTAATAATAGAAAAGTAGTAAAAAGGAAGAAATGAAGTAGAAGACAGGAGAGGCATACGTAGAAGGTTTTGGGTGGCGAAAAGGAGAAGGGCTTTATAGATTAAAGAAATAGAGTGGTAGAGTGATAAGGGTAAACTGGGAAGTAATGAGAAGCGAGGGTGAATGCGTGAATAGGTATGATAGAGAGGGCATTAAATGGAAGGAATATCCAATGAGAAATGCGTGGGCCAGAGTTCAAAATTCGGCGCCCTAGTGAGTTCGCCACGTCACCATCATTCATATACATGTCATTAAGCAGTAAGCATTATTTATCATGCATTAATATATAGTTTGAAAAATGAATTTATAAAGTTTATGTGTTGGGTGCCTAGTTTTCCACACTTCCCGCAATCCATGCTTCCCGTCATTCACGGAGTCACACTTCCCCCTTTATCTTACTTAACTCCGTCTAAATCCGCGTTACCCAAACCCCATTACATTGGGAAAGGAGATACCACCTCTGCCTGGCGCATCACCACAATTTCATTCATAAATATTTTTTATTTTAAACCAAATATTTTTTATAATTTTAAATATAATATAATTTAATAATTAATTTTAAAAACACCAATGATTCAAAATTTTCAACATAAAAATGGTTGTTCTAAAAGATACTAGTTAAAAATATATTAAACTAAAATAAATGTATTGAATATCTAAAAAGACATTGTTTTTAGTTTTAAATCACATCCAACTACCACTGCTATGAGGTGAATTGTTGCAGAAATTGAGGACACATAAATGTTGTTGACTTATTAATAGTGGCGCGTACCTCTCTGAAATATTCCCTTGAGTCTCCCATGGATGATATATTTGGACCGTTAGAAAAACAAAACAAAACAAAAAAAAAAAAAAATGCACAAAAGGCAAAGGAGGAAGATGCATTATTGATGATGTTTGGGCACAAATTAAGCAGAAAACAAAATTAGTAGTAATTTAAAAAAGTAGTGTATTATATAATACTAGGGATGGTCACGGACAGATTAGTTGGAAGCAAGTTGGTCCTTGGTTTAAGGGCACGTGATGAGGTAATAATGGGAAGGGTGAGTTTTGTCATTGTACAAGATGGTGTATTCAGATAACGCCAAACATGAAACAACGAAGGGTCTTAAGGGCATGTTTGCCTCCACCCCTAAATCAGGGGGTTCGTGTTCGTGTTTGTGTTTGTCAACACGCGTCACTGCATGACCCACACAAATCTGCCACGTCATCAACATCGAAAGGTCACTCTCTCTCTTTCGCCTCGCGGATCGCGGCATCTTTATTCTTTTTCAGGTATTATTTCTGGTTTTGGATCTATTCAATCCACACCACCACAAAAATAAATTTAAATCCACTTTGCTTTATCCATTTCATGTGGCACACGAATTTCCCTACTCTGCCTAACAAAAATTTTAAGATCAAATATTCTAAATATATCCACCAAAAATTTAATATTTAATATCTCATGTGTTTCTGAAACTGTTTATCCTACACTTTAATCAATTTTATAGTTTATTAATTATTCCTCCAATATCTGACCAGTGTTTCTCCTATAAAGCCACTATTTTTGGATTCAAATCACAATATAATCGACTTTTTAATGTGATAAGCAACTAACATCATAATTTCATCACATATATAAATTACACACGCATTATAACATTTTAATATAAATAACATAATATCAACTTTCGAAATAAGTGTCTCATAAAGAAAATCCTATTAAATTTTTTTTTGATTATTTTACGATGATAATTCTTACAAAAATTAATATATAAGAAAATTTACTAATTTTGTCAGACTTAACTTTCTCTCGTATGAAAGATAAGAAAATTATTACAACTCGCATGAAGAGGTCAATTTCAAACTCCATCATCTATTATATTGAAAATTATAAAAATTGCAAAATTTTACCTAATGTTGATAACTTGATCTTTACTCACTAAAAAAGTCATAACTTGAATTTTAGACCTCCTTTTTAGGTGATTCCAAAGTTGTTAAAAAGTTAACATCTAAGGATACAACTCTCATGAAGTCCACAAAGCCTAATTCAATCATCTACTATTCGTTGAGCAAATATTATCTCATTGAGCGAGTTAAACTTTCTAGAACTTCTCATTAGGCAAATCGATTTCTAGCTGAGTGAGTTGGGCTCTTTGGAACTCCTCGTTGAACAATCAATTTCTAGTTGAGTGAATTGAACTCTTTGGAACTCCCATTAAGCAACCAAATCTCATCATTGAGAAAAATTATGAAGATTGTGTTGATGTTCTTTATTTGTGCATGAACGATGAACAACCATACACTTATAACTGAGCGAGAATGCAATGTTCCTCCCTGAAAATCACCTTCCCTCAACAAAATTTAGCTCCCCACATCATATACACATGAAATCTATGATTCTTCTTTCCCACGCCTCATACAACTCAAAACACCTTAAAAACATCACACGCAACCACTACTAAACTCAAGATTGTCAACCTCTCTTCAACCTTTAAAAGCCCCAAAGCCCCACAATACGAACTTCATGCATTCTCAACATAGATGTCACCAATGGGTCAAACAACATAGCAATCAGCACAAATAAATCAATTTACAAACTTCCTTTACCTTAGATTGCTTGAAACAAGAATGGGAAGAAGGAACAACAAAGAATGAAGCTCCAAAGAAGTTTGCCATACCACAACCTCGTCTTTGGATTCTCAGCCTCCTAGCCTCGAATCTTCAATCCAACATCATTACTCAGCTAAGGGAAGAATCTATATTTCTCCCACATAATCAAAAAGAAAAAGAAGAACAAAATTTCTCTGGCTTTAGAGTGTTACCATTTGATTTCATGCGGTTGATTTTGCTTTAAAAGTGACGCGGTGACAATTTTGTAAATAATATGAACACTTTTAAGATCGGTTAAAATTTAGCCGATCTTAAAAGTACTTTTAAGATCGGTTATTTTATGAACGATTTTAAAAGTGCTACTTTTAAAATCAGTTATTTCAGAATCGATTTTAAAAGTGCTACTTTTCAAATTGGTTATTTCAGAACCGATTTTGTATGTAGTATACAAAATCGATTCTTAAATAACCGATTTTAAAAGTATCGTCAGAAACCTTTTATATTTCCCTCCATTCTCATTCTCTTTAATCTTTCCCTCCATTCCTTTTTTTACTCTCTCACACTCTCATTTTCTAAAGTCTCCAATAAGGTAAATTTCGTTTTCGTTTTCGTCTTCTCATGCTCTTCTTGTGTCTCTTTTCGTTTTCTCATGCTCTTTTCTTGTCTCTATTTTTGTTGTAGGTTCATTTTGGGTAAATTTTGAATATGGAACGGCCTGTTCTATAAGGAGAACGGCTCGTTCTTCAAGGAGGACGGCCCGTTCTTCAGGGAGAACGTCCCGTACTGCAAGGAGAACGGGTCGTTCTGATGTCCGTTCTTCAAGTAGTCTTTTTAACAACCTGGAACAGCCCGTTCCAGTTTTGGAACGGCCCGTTCCAGTTTAATTTTTTTCAAGGCCAGGACTTTTGAGATTGGTTATAAAACAACTCATCTTAAAAGTTAACTTTTAAAATCGGTTATTTAACCGATTTTAAAAGCCTTTTTTCCACTAGTGGAATGGTTTGATTATAGTTGCATGTAGTCTTTGACTAGGTACTGGAGGGGGCATGGTATTTGGAGGGCAGTGGGTGGGCTAACTCCATATGTGAATTGGCGATGCAAACTAAGGTCGTGGTAGACCCACACCCAAACCGTTCTGCCTTGACAATAGTATTAGACCTCTGAGTCTGAGTGGCACACCTGATTAATCGCCTATTCTTGTCTATACTTGATTCTCTTTGGAGTTGCTAACGATGCCCTATACTTGACCTGGTTGAGATAGGTCAAACATTGGATTCGATAGGGTTTATGCCACCTAGACTACTTAACCTCAGTTGTTGGAGATCTTCTAGTTGTATATGCGTGACGAGGCGTTAGTAGATGTTGTATATGATGTTGCATGGATGTTGCCTATTGGTTGCATTGAAGTTGTATATTATGTTGAATGTGTTGAAAATGTTATTGTTTTTAGTTGATGTTGTTGAAAGACAGAAAGTTTAATTCTAT